TGTCGATATCCTCCATGGTTTCCTGCAAGGAGCAGAGGGCGGTTAGCTGAGCTCGGAGCAATTCCCCCACCCTGGTGACGCCTTCACCGGGCTGGATCCGGCCCCAGGAAGCACCAGGATTCCATCTGCACGTTCAAAACACCCCAAAAAGCCACATTTTATGCCCCACGGCCCATCCTCTCCACCCACATCCATCCCCGATCCACGTCTGCCCCACCCGCTCGAGGCCACCCCGCTGCGGGACCGGTCCTTGTGCCGGTGGTGGGGCAGACGCACGCCCCCATTTCCAACCCTCTCCCACCGGTTTCTCCACTGCAAATGCCACGTTTTGTGCGGGATCGCCGCCCGCAGCTCCTCAGCCGCAGCGGACCCACCTGCACGACGATATCTTTCATGTAGTCGTACTCCTCGGGGTGCAGGAAGGCGGTGAACTCCTCCTTGGTGGCGGTCAAGTCTCCGTCCTTGTCAGCCATCTTGAAGCGCCGTTCATCTCGCACCATCATTTGTTTATAATTAAATCCGTCGTCAGGGTCTGGGTCATCTGGGCAGAAGAAAAGAGAAGAGGCACCGGCCTGGGTCAGCTCCGGCAGGAGATGCTCCATGGTCACAACCAACATCTGCAAACCTCAACATCAACCCAACCTTGACCCAACCTCCTCAGTCCAACCTCAAACCAACCTCAACATCAACTCAACCTCAACCTCCTCAACCCAACCTCTACCCAACCTCAACATCAACCCAACCTCCTCAATCCAACCTCTACCCAACCTCAACTCAACCTCAACATCAGCCCAACCTCAACCCAACCTTGACCCAAACTCCTCAACCCAACCTCAGCCTCCTCAATCCAGCCTTGACCCAACCTCAACATCAACCCAACCTCAACCTCCTCAACCCAACTTCAACGTCAACCCAACCTCAACTCAGTCTCCTCAATCCAGCCTCAACATCAACCCAACCCAATCTCCTCAACTCAGCCTCCCAACGCTTTGTCACAGCAGCCTGAATTTAAGACATTGGTGGCCATCACGTCTCTCCTGCACCTACTGTGCCAGGAGGAAGAGCCACCAGTGGCCGTGGGCTACTAGAATTCCTGGGGAAGGTGCCTCCTGAAGACAAGGACTGGGGTTTTTTTGGCCGGCGCAGTCCCAGCAGCTCAGCCCAAGCTATTTCTGGAGCAGAATGTGTAAGGGGATATTCCTCCCCGCTGCCGGGGCGGCTTCAAAGCCAGCGAAACATCCCCCAGCGCCCGCCGCAGCGGGAATATCTGGGCACATATGGCCACTAGATATAGCCATGCTATAGAAACGCTGCGGGACACCGGAGCTGGCTTTGGTTGTCAGCCTATAGGAAAATATTGATCGAGGAGGACAGAGCCGAATTCTTGGGGGTGAAGCTAAGCGAGAGCCAGGTCTGGTCTAAAAAAAGGCTCCGGCCCATCTCCGTTGACATCCAGGACAAAAGGCGGGGGATTAGGTAGCTATATCCAAACCCCGGCGCTGGCCAACTGTTCGATAGAAGATGGCAGGAAGATTTTTATTTTAAGTCACCTCTAGGGCACAATTAAGGCTGAAGTTTTGCCCTGTCTGTGCCCAAGCTCTCACCTCGGGAAGCGGCATACGCTGAAAGCTCGGGGAGAGCAAACAAAAGGGATCGGTGTCGGCTCGCATGACAAGGGGAGCGGGAAGGATTGAAACAGATTTTTTTTTTTTAATACGGGTGATTCCGCCGTTTGGCCAAGTGGCTTTAAGGAGTTTCAGTGCGGTGGCAAGCGGCAAAGAGCCGAGTGAGCCGACTGCTTAACGAAGGTGAAACCCACCCAAACCACCCTGTGATTCTGTCCCCGGCCTCAGTGGCTCAACAGAAATGTTTTATGGGGCAGATCGAGGGGGGAGCGCCAGGGAATCGCTCGGGAGCTGCAGGCAGCAAAGCCACAAACTCAATTTTTTAATGCTCCCAAGCGAAACGATCGGGAGAAACACGAGTGTCTCTAGTTTCACGAACCACCCGTGGTGCCAGGCGAGTCTGATGGAACCAAAGAACAAAAAAAAAAAAAAAAAAAAAAAAATTATATTCTTATTTTTAAGGAGGTTTTAGAGGGAGATTCACTTTAAGATGAAGCTCTTGGATATTTATCCCTTCCTATTCTCCCTTTCTGTATAGAAAGTGGGATTTTGATGCTCAGAAAGCACCGAGCGACTTGATTAGAGCCCTGGGCGCAGCCTGGTGACTAACACAGCGTCCGAGGTTTAAAAAAACCACCCAGCAGCGCTTCGCGCCGATGACCAAAAGCGAACATTTTTCAAATACTCGGTGGAGCAGCAGCAGAGGGCGGTGCCTCGGCTCCCCCGCGCTGGGAGAGGGATGTTCTTCACGTGCCGAAGGGCTCGGCCGGGCTCTTGGCCGCACGTCAAGCTCTCCAGAGGCATCTCCGGAGGCATTTCCAGCATCACTCCAGCCGGAGAGCAGAGAGAGGAGCAGGGAGGGGAGAGTCTCGTGTCAGGGGTGAGAATATCTCAGCAGAAAGGAGCTGGGGGAAGCAACTCGTGATGAAAACGAAGGAGCCCGGAGCCCAGGTGCTGGGAAGGAATGGCTCTGCCCGGATGAGCCGGGATCCTCCTGGCATCCAGGAAGGACAAAAATATTTGGGATCAGGGTTATAATGGGTTTTATCAGCACCTCCCGAGGGCACTCGGCTCAGGGCGGTGAAATCTTTCCGGCGGATTGCCCACCACAGCACCAGGCACTCCCCTCTCCTACAAATTAGGCTTTAAAAATTATTTTCTCATTAAGGTTTTTTCTCATTAATTTTAAAAAAAATATTCTACATCTGCAGGTCATAAATCCCACTGCATGGACTCCAAAAAAAAGGGATAAAATCCTTCCTGAGACCTCTTCTCCCCTCTCAAGGCTGGGTTTGGAGGTGTAGACAGGCTGGGCTTTCCGGGGAGCTCAGTAATTACACTAATTAATGGAAAAGGGAAACCTGGGGGGATCTCGGGGGGTCGATTTTCCCCAGCCACCACTTTGGCCAACGTCAACCTTCCTCGAGCTTTAACCCACTCTTAAAAGAAGTCACGAAATCACCCGAGGGAAGACGGATGAGGCAGAACCGAGAGGCAACAGCCCCCATCCGTCCTGCGGAGCATTTGACTATCTTTGGAAATATTTAAGTAAATTAAACTTTATTTCATGCTTTCGGGCTGGAGCTCATCAGCCCATATAAGTCTGTGTTCCAGGAGGGGCAGGAACCACAGGGATTTTTTTTTTAACGTCTTAACCCCAGCGGAGCTTCTCCTTCCCTGACTCCTAGGCGCATCTCGGTCCTTACAGCTCCTGGGGGGCAGCCCCGCTCTCTCCAGGGCGGTGGGTTGGGGTCTTACAGGACAAAATTGACAAGTTCGGGGGGTTAAAGCTACTGCCAGGACACGTGGAGAAATAAGAGGTGCCCCCAGGGCTTTGGGAAGGGATTAAAAGACTCTTTGCTAACGATCTTCACAGATTTCAGAAGATTTTCACCCAGAAAAACGTGACTTCTCCAGCCACAGCTCGGTCAGCTGCTGCCTGCAGGTCCCAAAGGCCACCAGGAGCTTGAAATTCAGAAGTTAGAAGGCAAAAAAACCCCATCACCCCGGGTGCTTTTAATCACGTTATCAAACGATTGAGTTTTGAGCCAAGTCTCATGATTAAGCACATCAATAAAGCAGAGGTACGAGCGCAAATTTCACTTTTTTTTTCTTTTTTTTTTTTCCTTAGATTCCCCCTCATCAATGCCATCGGTAAAAATTCTGGTTTTTTGGTGTTTTTTTTTTTTTTTTTGTTCAACCCGAGGCATTGGGGCTGAGCTCTGTGGCACTTCTGCTTTATGGATGGATGGGAGCCCACCACCAGAGCGGCCACCTGGCCCCTTACCGAGGTAAGTGCCATATGTCACGTTCCTGTACTCATCCCAGGAGATAAATCCATCTTGGTTCAAGTCAAACTCCTGCCACTGCCGTTCCACACTGTCATACACGTATTTCTTCTGGGCCTTCTTAATCCAGGCTTTCAGCTCCCCCTCGGTCACAAACCCATCCTTATCCGTGTCTATCTTAGCTACAATCATTCTACAAAAACAAAACAGCAAGTTTCAAGCGCCGGCTCCGTCAAATTTTTCTCCCCGGAGTAGAGACCTACCTAAGATGTAGCCGTAGGTGGCATTTTTATATTCCTCCCAAGAAATGAGGCCGTCCTCATTGAGGTCGTGCCCTTTCCACTGCCGCTCTACGTCCTCGTAAATCCAGCGTTTTTGTGCAAACTTAATCCAGTCTTTCAGCTCTTCCACTGTTACAAACCCGTCTTTGTCTTCATCTATTTTACTTACAATCTTTCTGTAGGAAATGCAGAAAAATCCAGGAAAAAGTTAAGGGGAAAGCAAGGTTCTAGATCTACCGGGGCGAGAGGGTTTGGAGGCAGAGTGAGCGAGTCGAGGGGTTTATCGCACGGACGGCTTGTCCCCAAACCCAACGGAGGGTCCAGCTGCCGAAACGCCGGCTCGCTCCCCCTCCAGCCTGTTGGGTTTTGTGTTCAGCCGGGAATTGTGTGGTTTATTTTCTCCTTAGACTTTGGGAAAAACCCACTCGTGCCTCTTCCCACCTCCCCAGCGCCAAGGAGCGGAGGTGGCCCCCCCCCCGAGGACGACACCCAGCCGTTCACCGAGGGAGAAAGCGGAGCTGCGGGGTTCACAAGTGCAGCACGAGGCCGCGTGCCGCCTATATTTTTAGCAGCAGCTGGGAAGAAAAGCTGCCGGTTTTTTTATGCCGAGATCCATCGGCAGATGCACGGGAGGGGAAGGCGGGAAGGGGGAGCCGGGCTGTTCTGTCCTCGCGGTTTACTCCTAGGAGTACCGGCCGTGTTTGTACAACCCCTGGGAACTTCCAGTTGTGTGTTTCCCCTCCCGGGTGATCAGAGCCAGGGATAAGAGCCCAAAACGTTCTGCTTGGGCAACCAGGGTCATTTTTTTTCCTTTTAACAGGAAGGTCCGATGGGAAACAGGTTCTGTTAAATTCCGCCATCCTTAAGTCGAATTTGAGGAATTTTAAACGACTCTTAAGTCACCCCAGGACTATTAATTCCCAGAATATTGCTGCAAAGCAAAACATCGAGCGCAAACCCAGCCTGGCCACCGGAGCCACGCTGCACTCAGCTCCCGGGGTTTGCCCTTCCCTAATTGCCTTTAAAAAGCAAAACCACAATTTCTTCACAGGATGTTCCTAAAAGCTGAGCAGGGAGTTGGAGTGAGACCAGTAAAAATATTTGCTGGACTTCTAGAAGAGCCTTTCTGCTCAATGCCGGACTTTACGCGGGGCAGGCGGCAGCTCGCAGACCACATTTCGGAGGCTGGAGTTGTTTAAATAAAATTTCAGGGAGATAATTCAACTTTTCCAAGTCGGTTAAACTGCCAAGACAAGAGTCAAGGACGGGAGACTCGCTGGGCATCGTCCTTCTCTGGCTTTATCAGAAAATGCTCCGCAAGGTCTGGATCCCATCAGGAATTTCCCCAGTTGCTTCCCCGACCGTAAAATCCACCCCATGGCAGGCGGGTGGAAAAGGTTTGTGTGACACCAAAGCTCCCGGCGTCAGCAGAACAAGGAGGCGGCGGGGCCAAGCGACAAGGTTTGGGCAGCGGCCGAGCTCGCACAAACCCACTTTTCATCCCTCCGGCCAAGGGCGGTGAGAAATTGGCGCCCGGCCGAGCGGCGAGGTGCTGCTCAGAGCTGGGGCACGGGCACGGCTCGGGGCTGGCACACAGACCGAG